CTGCCCCTAGCAGGAAAGACTTCTGTTAACTAAATGTTTATGATTTGGGGAGGGGATTGTTAGAACAGGCTCTTCCCAAGCGCCTCGGTGGATTCAAATACCGTATGGGTTAAGGCTGCATGATGTACTACCAATGTCTCCTGCCAATCCCAAAGTTCAGAGTAAGTGTCCCCTGTACATACTTCAAACTAGCAGGAAATTCAGTTCCGCCCGCGCCGGCCCAGCTCCTGTGAGTAGTGCATTTTGGGAATAATATAGTCCCGTAATGATGGAGAATCACGTGGAACATCAAATTCAAAATGAAATGGGAAACTGGGATTCTGTAGGGAATGTGAGGAATATAGAAGGTTGTTTCAGTGGGGAGACAAAACCTCCTGACATAGGATAAGATTATGCACTCCTTCGTTTTATGACATCTCAGAAGAAGAATCCACGTTTACTTGATTACTTGGTTGTACCACCAAAAACCGAATCCCTCATGTGACCGCAGCCAAGGAAGCGACAGAGCACCAAAGGGGACATGAGCGTGGACACCAGTGCTGCCAAGCAGCAATGCGAGGAAATGAAGGCACCCGTTTCCTACTGGTGCTTAAGGGCGAGTGGGAGAGTGGATCCGTATAGAAATCCTTACATAATCCTCATATATACCCCTGTAATCGTACTAGTAGGGTTTAGCAAGACCGTACATGGCCTACATTACAGTAGCCCACAGAGCGTTTTACACGATGACCTTGACATGCTTCGGCTGCATACTGCTGTCCATCATTGGGCCAGTTTTGAAAATCTGTCCTACCCATTATGTATTATATATCCATATTGCAGTGACTTACTTTAGCTTCCTTAACAGCAACCCAGTACCCCCCCAGTGTCCTTCCTAGTTCAGATCCCGTAAAAGCGATCAAGGCTTGTTGACCACAAGCTGCTGTAGAGAAGACTGCTGACTGACAAGCTGTTGCATGACCATATTACCCCAATAATGGAGAATCAAATGGGAAAAATGGAACATGAAAGGAAACTGGGATTATAAATGAGGAGGTTAGGGTTTCCCAAAATTAGGGGTATCTTTTTGCGGGGTCCCGATAGGGGGCTCCCTTTCGGAACTGGACTACTTCAATGTGATGTGTTGTTGTGGGGCTTGGGGATCTCTCTAAGAACTAATACTCCAAAAGCATGCCAAAACCAATGTCCTGGAACGCGGGATGTTTTGGCTTCTAAGCTGTTTCGGCAAGATTTGAAGCCAGACCTTTGCATGTTCTTCTGTGAGACGATGTATTCCGAAGTGGTACGTCCTAGAAGACGACTCTGTGGAGCTGCAGTGGAATATGTTGACAGGCACGCTTGCTGGAGCTCCGTGGAGAGGAAGAGGAGCAAACCTTCTGAAACAGGGTTGATGCCGAGCCGCTGACGTGAATGGTGTGGTGTCCTAAAAATCATGCAGCTGCCCAGCTCTTGTACAGAGCGCTGCTAGGGTATTCATCGATCCTTGCACCAGATCTTCCATACTACACAGAGCAGCGGCGTAGATGGTGATGGGAAACACGTTTTTGGCTATTGCTGCTGCGGCCACTGCAAAGGCTCCTGCTACTCCTGTTGGTATCAGTAGTCACCAGTCTTCCGAGCACTGTTATGGTGAAGCCTTTGCCACGTTCTTACGCAAGTGCAAGTACTGTTGCGTGTGATGTGTGTAAACTTCTCTTACCCAAATCCTCACCAGCATCATTTGCATCATCATCATCATCATCATAATCATCATCATCATCATAATCATCATCAGCAGCATCATCACAGTTGTTAGTTATCACCATCATCAGCAGCACCATCATCATCATCATCATAATCATCGTATTCTAGCATGCTTTCACACGCTACGAGGACCGGCAGAGGCTGCTGCTGCAGCGGAGGCAGCGCCGGAAGCGGCAGGCCTGTTCACAGATCAGCCCATACCATGCTTGCCGTCCAGAAAATTTGTATGCTACATGTAGGGGCTCCTACGACGACGAAGCCTGAGTAACCTTAGGGTTTAGGGTTTGTTATCCTAATATAATTACAAAAGAACAGTAGATGAACCCCGAACCCTATTCGAATTACAGTGACCCTTCAATTCGAACCGGAAACAGCCTGCTACAAACCCAGTTTCTCTTTTATGTTCCATGCGATTTTCCATTCTCTAAACCCCAGACCCTGCACAGGTAGCTCCCGTTTTTTGGGATTCCCCTGCATTTGCCTATATAATGCTATAAGATTGTCCTATATACCCCCATATAGCGCCCTTTCAGGGGTCAGGGGACTAGGACTAGGCCCTCTTAACCCTAGGAGACCCTGAGCCCCTAAACTCAAAACCCTATCGTGGTTTCCATTTTCCTTTCCATTCCCCCCAAATACCATCCCATAATGCAGCGCTCTGCAACGCTATATAACCCTACCTTAACAAAATTAAAGCTATGCCTATACAAGTATATCCCTACCCTACTTAACCCTGAAATCTACAGTAATTTCGATTTTTCCACTCCCTAATCATGAAAAGTAAGTCAAACCTGAACCCTATACCCCTATACATGCCCAGTTTCCATTTCGTTTGCTGTTCCATGCAATCCTCCATTATTGGGTGTCATATCCCTAAACCCCAAACCTCCCTTTAAAGACACATCCCTAAACCCTGAAACCCTAAACCCTAAACCTACCTTTAAAAACATCCATAAACCCTAAAACCTAAACCCTAAAACCCTAAACCCCTAAACCCTAAACCCCTAAACCCTAAACCCCTAAACCCTAAAACCCTGAACCCTAAAACCCTATATAATCCCATTATAGTAGTTTCCATGTTCTTTGGGTGTAAGTTTCCATCTTCTTTTGCCTGGTAGGAGCCGCAAGAAGACCCAGAGGAGGCAGCGATGGAGGTCGAAGGCTCCTCCAGAGAGTTGCTTGGGTGAAGAACTAGTTCCAGCTTGGAAACAGGGAATATGTAGGGGTTATATAGGGTATATATATATACATTATATATACATAATTAGGGAATATATGGGGGTTATATAGGGGTTTAGAGTCTAAAGATTTTGGGAGTTAGAGGTTAGGGCTTTAGAGGTTTCAAGGGTTTAGAATTTGTTGGGTCAGACAGTGGGGTTTCGCGTTTGGGATTCAGGAGTGAGGGGGTTGGGTTAAGTTGTTGAGACAATATTTAAACAAGTGGGTGTGAGACATCTTGGGGTAACCCTGGGAACCGCAAGGTCTGAGAGTTCTAGTAGGGGCATTTCACGGATCTTAGGGGGCGCAACATTCTTAACTCACAGTTGGGTGAGAAAGGCTACCGCTTGCCACTGCCCCACCCGCAGATGCTTTACCCCTGAGGTATTTTAGGAATGTTCTTTGGGGGGGGGTCAGGGTCGGGGTGTAGGTGAGCTTGTCTAAGTTATGGGTCCTTTTCTGCTTTGGGTGGGGATTTCTGGGTTCAATGGGGACCTTCATTGGCAGAAATCCCAGTCTCAATAAACTGCACATACATGCCCCCAGGCGGAAGTAGGTGCCCATGATTGCTCACAGCAGGGACTCGTGGAGCTGCGTGTGGAAATTAAAGGTGTGGGGGTACATTAAATCTTTCTTGGGTGTGCAGGGTTTCTGGCTTATACGCTAGGTTTTGGAGGTTTTCCAAGATTTAGAGGGTTTGGTCAAAGCTTTTGATGCTCTCTGAAAAGGACAACAGGGTGCAAGGAGTCCATTTCCGGCTCCATGCCTTTGAAGAGTGGAAGAGTCGGGCTTTGGCTTGGGATTTCAGACTTTGGCACTGCTTAGTGCCAGGATTTGACAGCAGAGGTTCAGAACTTCAGGAATGACTTCGCTCACATGCCACCATCCTTTCCAGCAACCTGTGGCTTTGAGTAATTTGCTCCTAAACATCCCTGTGTCAGCTCAACCCATCCTGTGGCGCAACATCAAACATGGGTGGTTTTGACGGCATCCTGGTCCTCAGAACATTGTCATTGCTATCATTGCTACCATGTCCTCAAAAGGGAGAAAGCATATCGCACTCAGCTGAGGCTGTTGCTCAAGGCTCACGCAGCTCAGCTGCAATGTGTTAAAAAAAGGGGGGGGGCCTTGTCCAGGTAAGCTGAGGGAATACGTGTGTCCTAGAGCAGATGTTGTAGCTCCTTTCAGCAAATTGTTCAATTAATCTGCTCCGGAAAGCTTCTTGTAGCCTCAGAGGGAATGCGGTGTAAAACTATGACGGAGGAAATCTTGCAGTCAGGACCCCTAAGCTATTCTACTTCTGAGGACTTCAGGTACTCATGGTGCAGAGTTTCCTCGACCCACCGGGCGGACCGAGACATTAAATTAAATTAGCAGCGCAGGATTCTGTTGCCTTCCTTCCCTGTAGATATGGTTCGGGATATTACACCCCATAATGGAGAATCAAGTGGAAAGAACTAGGAAAATGACGTGGAAACTGGATTACTTCTCTGGGGTCTAAACTACCATATCTCGCTATATCTTGCATTTCTCAGAGTGCTAGTGCCCCTGTATCCGCAGAAATATACTGACTGGGGACCCCCACAATTGGCCCATGTTGGTGAGAAGCCTAAACCCTTTCCCAATTCCAGCCATGTGAAGAACAATCATGATCACATTTTTTGGCAATACTGTTATTGCAGCCGCCATGCCTTATGAGAGCTGCGCACCGTGAGGCCTAGATTTTGGCACGCCCGCAATGTGTCCGCACAGTCCCACCAGGTGAAAACAATGGCTCTAATGAAATCGCAATGCACCGCTAGAGCCACTTTCAATGGAGCTTTTCTGTGTTTTTCCTCAGTGCGCTGGCTGGTCCTGATGCATTGCTGGCTAATACTATGGATATATGCAGCACTTAAGAAGACCCCAAATATACACTGATACAGGGTGGGGGCAGTAACCAACTTATGCATTGTCTCAAAAAAGTTTGACTTGCCTGGCTCCAAACTTGGCCTTTCAAGTCAGATGCTGTGAAGTAGATCGTTCTGGCTGCTTGAGCCATGATTCGCAGCTGTCTTCACGTCTTTGGGGTTTGCATAGTGGCCTTCTGCCTGGTGACGGAAGGTGGGAGCGTTTCTGCCAGTTGCAAGACAATTGGCTGCGGTGGGCATGACCCCAAATCAACTTGCTTTTGCGCACCGTCTTGCTTCAGCTTCGATGACTGCTGTGACGACTACGCCGAAGTTTGTCCAGAGCAGACGCCAACCGTAAAGTTAGGAGATGTGAACATGCTCATTACGACAGACCTCCACTCCTGGATTGAAGGGCGCCCTCACGACGCACACTTGAATGCATCCTTGGCTCATGTAGTTTCTGTTCTGGATCACTTGCGCAGTATTGCCTATGCTCAGAGTCGGGATGTGTTCTTTTTCGACAATGGTGACATCAATGATGGCACCGGGCTTTCAGCAACTGCCCCAGATCACGTTGCTTTCCTATCTCCGGTTTTGCAGACTGTGCGGTATGATGCGCTGAACATCGGCAACCATGAGTTGTATCAGCGAAACGGGCATGGGATCGTGCCTCGGCTGATACGGTTCTAAGGCTAGTTGTGCTTCATGTCCCAGCTGATAGGGGCTTGCCTCCAGCATGGCTTTTGCATGTCTGTTTCGTCCCTTGCCTCAAGGTGGAGGGGCCTGCGTGTCCGGTTGTGGGCTTGAAGGAATCTGGCTACATCGCCTCCTGGGAGGGTCGTGCCTTGGCAAGCTAGATCTAGATGCGTAAGCTGAGCCAATTGCTTCGCCTAACTGACTGCGCGCACCTTGCAGCTGTGAAACAGGTAAAGTTAGTGGGCCCAGCTAGCAGCCAGCTTCTTTCAAGCGAGGCTACCTGACCTCGAATGTGGTGTGGTCTTCATCCCATGAGCCAGTGGGCAACCGGTATACCATGATAGAGGGCAAGTTTGGGACAAAACTGCTGGTCTTCGGCTTCCTCTACAACATGCACGATCACTGCGATGCCGTCGAAGTGTTGGATGTGGAGGATGTGCTGGCCTCCCAGTGGTTCAAAGAAGCCGTACAGGCAGCAAGCTAGCCTAAACCCATGCCACTTTTGCAAGGGTCTCAGCCCACTGAACTGGCCAGATGGGATTGGAAGAAAACAACTAGAACACCAAAACAGCAAGCTGCTCTCGTAACAATACTGACGGTGATGAGATTATGGCGACCGCATTGCCGCAACGCCGGCTGTGATGATGACAACCGCTGCTGCCTGAATAGCAATCATAGCAACAAACGCTAATGTTGACACAACAAACACCGTCCCGGAATGACACGTGTAGTACTACTCTAGAGGCTCCTTCATGCACATAGTGATTTGCGTTATAGCTGATAGTGTACGGATTGTACGTACAGTACCCCCTATGTAGATGATTAAGCCTTTAATACGTCATATGGTCAGCCACCAGGCGCATGCGCAAGTTTGTGATGGTGTTGTCGTTCTCGCTCACATGGACTACCGCGATGAACTGGTTGACAAGATATGGACAGCCCTTCGCAACCGAGCATGTTTGGGATAACGCTTTGCGTGTTCGTCAGCCTTCAAACTTCAAACCCCAAATCACAGAGCGCAAAAATAATGATGACAGTTGAAGTGGTGAAGAAGCTAACAACAACAGCACTCATGGTAAACATATTCGCTAAAGGACAACCATGCCAGCAAAGGCAACTTTCATAGAAACGAGCTTTGTTTTCATGTTGCCGACAGTGACCGAGGCACCGGCATGGGATCCAGCAAGCCAATCCAGGTGCGCTATTGTCAACTTGATGGTTGCCAGTGGGGTTCGCCGTGGTGATGGTGGTGGTGGTGGTGGTGGTGGTGGTGGTGGTGGTGGTGGTGGTGGTGGGTGGGCAGTTCAGTCGAGTATTCTTTCAAACATGCCCCCCCCGCCCCCAGCAAGGTCTGATGTCCTGTAGGTCATGGAACAATGAATGTTCCCTCTCTAACATATCCCGTAACAGGGTCTCATGTCCTCGAGGTATATCATATGGGTTTCCAGGCATAGGGGACCCCATTACAGATCTCAGTGCACTGTAATCGTCAGCTCAAATTTTGCAACCTCCCATACTCGGTACGTAGAAGTACCGTGGATGGAGGAAAACTTGCACCACCTCCTTAATGTACCCAATAGTTACACTTACATTAATTTGAGAGGGCTAGGTAGTGTGTCCCTGAATGACTGTGGCTCCCCTAAACCCTTCAGGTGGTTGCCGGCCACTCCCACAGACGAGGCTTCAGGCGCCTGGGCTTCAGGTAATCTCGGGGCCCAAGTGGTTGGCCTTCCCCGAATTAACATGAAACCCACAAAGAGGGCCCTACCAAGACGACGGTGCTTTACGGCTAAGCTACGTGAGCTCTGGTCTAAACTCCGTAAAAGGGGTTACATAGGGTCATTTGGGGTTCCATGTTAGGTTGGGGGAGAGTAGTGGTAAAAACACGTACTGATTGCTAGCTCGGAATGGAAAATTAAATGGACAGGCAAAATGGGGGGCTTACAGGCACAAGTACGCGCAGGGTTAACATACTAGTTGTTAGTAGGGAAGGATGGAACGGAAGAGAACATGGAAGCGCTGCTGTAGGGATCCATTCCTCCATTCCAACTGAACAACCAGTAAGATATCTCCAACATAGAGATAGACTCTCATCTCCTTCTCCTTGTGGTGTTTCACAAGAAGCACGGAAACAACTAGTCCAAACACCGAAAGAACAGTACATCAGTAGTAGACTTTGTACAGCTCAGTTTGCTTCCCGGGCAAACATATGCAACTTTAGCCTTGTGTTGAATGGAATTAGCGGTTGCCTCTTGGTGGCTGAGGATCCAAGTGAAAGCAGGTGATGATGGCGCTTCCTATTTGGTAACGAAAGAAACTGGGGATGGTTGAAGTGCGATAATAACACGATTATACACTATATTACTATTGCTATACTACTATATTGATTACTATGTTGACTTGTAGTAGCGGCAGGATGCGGGGGTGGGTGAAAGCGTAGCAGTAGTCCTAGTTCCTACGGCTTTTCGGCTTGTGATGGTAAGCTGAGGAGAAGGAAGAGCAGTAGTAGCACTAGACCGCAGTGGCAGTTCTGTAGCACCAGAGCAAAGTACATTCAGAGCAGCGCACAAGGCAGCTGGACGAGTATGCCTCTGACACCTGGCAGCAGTAGGGCTCAGTAGGGTGGGCCGTTTGCCAACAAGATACCCGTGCGTACAGATTCTGCAAAACTCTTGATGCGATCTCTCACGCCGAGTTGCCACTGATCTTCACAGTTGGGGTTTTGAAAATTAGCTCGCTCGCTCATGGACGTTCTTTTGACTACGCAGAACTCTTCAGTCAGCATAGCAGGCCTTCCGCTTGCTCGTACAAAGCTGGGGACTCTTGATGGACATATATGAGCGACGACCTAAAGTTCCGTCAAGAGAACCAAGGCTACGGACGTCGGAATTTTATCATTGGGAGCAGCCGTTCTAAGGGAAGCGAGAAGGGGCCGGAGTAACAAGCGCGATCCAGGTATTTCATTGAGTGGTGCATTATTTGAACTCATGGGTCCTACGTTTAAGCCAGATCCCCCTAAATTCAGAAAGCTCACCATGGCATTTATGCCTATTTTTTTAAGTAAGCGAGATCAGGGGCCGGAATAAGGAAATAGCGCTCCTTGCCCAAACAAGAACTTTGGTCCGCCGCTCATGTAAATAAATATATATATATATATACATATGTATATATATATATATTTATATTTATACTCGTAGGGAATGTCGGAATATGATGTAGGGACTGTATAGGGAATCATCAATGTGCTTCAGACCCGATCCTGTAAGAAGTAGAGTTCCGATTGAAACTCTTATTGCCTCGTCTTTGAAATACTACGCGCCACTGCTGCGGTCTTTCGTATGGGTGCTGCTGGTATCCCCACACTTGTTCAGGCATATTAAAGCAATTCGCTTCTACAACGTGTGGCCAGAAGCGCGTATCTTCCACTGGTGCAGGTCTACGAGGCTGGATGCAAGTTGGATACGGTGACTTGGTGGCAAGAATGATTTGTTGAGTATCTTGGCCCAGGCAAAGCAGCATGTTCCTAACAAGGGTGGATTGGGAGCGTCGAAGATGGCCCCATATGGAAAACCTCATAGTTTGGGTACTGCCCCCAGTCATTAACAGTGGGATAACAGTTATAATATAGTTATATTTTATGATTATTATATGGCCCCTAGTATAGACTGTTAATGCGTGGGGGCAGACCCAACTCATAGTATCGTTACTATTGCCCCTACAATCTACAATTGCTATTGCTTGGCTTGTGCCCCGGAATATGGGTATGTGTATGTGCATGTATAGGTATACGTATATCACACATATCACCCGCACGTATACATAAAGAGATATAAGTATACACAGGCGTTTATCCAAAGAAGCCCATTCAAACTAAACCCCATCCCAAACTACAAGATAATGCTTATATCGTCCCTATATAGTCCATATATTATATATAACATCATGTTCCCTACTAACCCCCAGTAAGTTATAAGGAACCCAGGTGGGCTTCCTTTCTTACTCCCGGGAAGGGAATCGGCTACGCTTTGAGCTTGCAAACATCTCTGGCAACATCAACCAGCTGGCAGGCCGGCGTAGAGACGTAGGATTAAGGGATGTAGTTTCGGGACTTAGGGTAAAGGGACTTTGGGTTGAGGGATGTCGAGTCTAGGGAGTTTGGGTGTAGGGATTGTGGGCTTGGTGCTTGGGGATTCGCATTTGGGTTTAGGGCCAAGAGCCACGCATTTGGCTTTCATAGACTGCTAGTGCCACGATGTTGGTTGCGTTCTGTACATTCGTACCGTAGGGCCCTCAGTGAAGAGGGGACCCCAATATTGACCCCAAAATACTGTAATCCTTATTTTAGGGGCTTCCAAAAAGGTACCCCAAATTCCGGGAAACACTACACCGGAAACAGGAGTTTCCATTTTCTTTTCCGTTATCCCCAAATTTCCCAACCTTCCGCTCCACTGAAGTCAGGCGCAGTGAATCGCAGCGTGTCCAATTTTTCCACAGCTGCGGGCGCAAGGACTGCTCAGGCGATTCAGACGGCGCGTGACAAAGCCGGTAGCGAGTCTTGGCGGTTTCCCAAAATTAGGGGTACCTTTTCTGGGGGTCCCCATAATGAAGATTAGAGTATTTTGGGGTATATTGGGTTCCCCGTATCTAGGGAAATTGCCATTTGGACTGCGCAGAGTAGTTTTCGCCTATGTGCGATTTAGGATACCATCTCTATTGTTATACAGTTTATCCGGGAGCCAATACTGCCTGAACATAGTTAGATCAGACTTTTACTGGCTGTTCATCGCGGATTCGCTAGCAGAAGCCTGATAGCGACAAGCAGATTTGAAAGGCAGCGTGCCTTTTCACTGGGTAAACTCATTGTATCCCAGGATCGAGTTCTTGGATGTGCAGCACAGAGATATCGATTGATGACTCCTCCTGGAAAGAACTCCCTGTGTCTTGTCAGGTCCTAGATTCCACTTGGAGGTTCGAGGGGCGGAGCAACTACTTGTATATTGAAAATGCCCCAAGCCCAAGGGCCTACTATAGGGCATTTCGCCTACACATCTACCCCAATATGACCCCAATATACTATAGTAGTTTCCATTTTCTTTTCCATGATCCCAATATAACCCAATATAACCCCAATATACTATAGTATTTCATTTATTAGATTTTCAAGGGGTTTCCCCAATTACGGATCAAGGTTCCACAACTCAGGCTCCCTCCAGTGCTGGTGAGTTCGTAGGTGTGAACCGCACGGGTCTTCATTAGCTCATACTGGGTGTGATGAACCAGGGACCTGATGACATGGGCAAGGTCCCTAAGGGAAGTCATGTTCTGTGGTGGCCATTTCTGAAGCAAGGTATGTTAGGCAAGCGCCACGAAATTCTGCAAAAAGTGCAGGGCTTCATGTGCTATTCTTCTAATGCTGGGGTAGGCAAGCACTTCAGCTGTTAAGCTTCCCCTCGTGCAAGCTTTTCAGGTGGTCCTTCTACATGCAAGAGGTGCTCCCCGAAACGCTTCTGGACTCCGCAAAGTCGCAGATCGCCATTGTTGGGACAGGGGCCATGACCTATGATATCTTCCCGGGGCCTGTCACAATCGACGATGCCTACACGGCCTCTCCATACGGCAATTTCTGGTTGAAGTTGGAGGGCATCAAAGGCGAGAGCCTGATCAAACTCATGATGGAGTTGAATCATCCAACGCCTTGGACACAAGTGGTGCCCTCATACGTGAACTCTAGCGCTCCCATTGCATCCTCCACCTATGACCTTGTCTTCTGCGATTCTGGCTTGCTGTTGAGGAACTCAAATTAAGTCACCATAATGGGTGTATATATATATATATATATAGAGAGTAAATAATAGGGCGATATAGTAACTTGAGTTCAATTCCTTAAATCCCTATATTCCCCCAGCTTCCATTCCATTTTCCATTTTCTTTTCGATTCTCCATTATGGGGGATAATATCCTTAGCCCCGAAGCCCTAAACCTTGAACCCTAAATCCTAAACCCTAAATCAAGTTCCTTAACAGCAACCCAGGATTTTGACTTGGATCCCATTGTGGAGAGACTCCAAGGGATGCTGGGCAAACACCTGGAGCCTAAGCTGTACAAGCCGCTTCTAAACACCTCCAGCGTGTCTGGGCTGTTGTTAGGGTTTAGGGTTTAGGGTGTAGGGTTTAGGGTTTAGGGAACCTAAATTTAGTTGCCATAATGGGTATATATATAGTAAATGATAGGGTTTCGCCAACATGGTAACTTTATAGGGAAACCTGAGTACTTACCACAGATCCATATTCTGGTAACCCTAAGCCCTAAACCTGTAATGGGGAACCATATTACTACGGTGGATACTAAAAATCCTGCATGACCCTCAGTACCTTCTACATTGGGAATCTCGCTACTATAGTATATTAAGGTCATGCAGGATTTTTAGTATCAGCAGTATGGTAACTTGATTCACGTTCCTTCACAGCAACTCAGGTGTTGAGCGCATGGTTCCAGCAGCGGCCATGCTCGGATGAGTCAATCCTTCTCTAGGGCAGAGACTGCGCAAGCATTTCCAGCGTGTACATACTTGGGTATGTGCCAACATTATGGTTCCCTTACTGAAGTTCCTCGAATTGTGGAGATGAATTATTCTGCAGCGCAAGAGGTCCCCAAATTTTGGCACATCACCGTCTCTTAGTCCAGCTGTGCAGAACTCTGCATGGCAGTGCGGATTGCCATGGCCCTTATGTCAAGGGAGTCACGACCCTAAACCCTAAACCCTAAACCCTAAACAGGGAGTCACGGGGACTTGGGGGGAGGTCAAGTGGGCAGGCTCAAGGCCCCATAGTCTTAGTGGTGCTTAGTTTGAAACAGGGAATTAGTCCTACAGGAAAGTACCTAGACCCTCCAATGTAGTACCTTTTTGGTAGTCCTAATAAGAGTCCGAACCCAACAACTATAACACACCCAAAAAGGAACTGCATTGGAAGGTCCAGGTAGGGACTAAGACAAGATTCTTTGTTCATGTGGAGTTCTAGAAGCCGTCATGCTGGCCTCATGCAGGAGACATGACCCCTTGATCCCCCCCAAAAAGTCCACGTGAGCTATAGTCTAAACTCCTCAAAAAGGAGTTATGTAGGGAATTAAGTATGTGGTTATTAAGGGGGATACCTATAGCTCACATGATCTTGCGTGGGGAAAGACTCAGCAGAGGGGTGGAAAAGAAGGCGTGCCTGCTTGGCCCACAGATCGTGGCTTGGTGAATAGCAATTGGATACTGCCTCCACTCTGTAACAGTTGGATAATTCTTATAATGCAGCTGTATATGGCCCATAATATGACCCACAATAAACTGTTTCAGGGTGGGGCCAGTACCCAATGTAGCAATCAGTGCCCCAAAATGGTTCCGGTATCATCCCCATGTGTTTTGAAGACGCCCTCCCAGCTGAAAATTGCATCAGCAAAGAGATTGCACTTGGGCCGCCGATTGCCCTAAGGAGTGCCTTGCTGAGGGCAGCCGCAAACCGGAGGAGCTACAGGCCCCTGGGGCGTTCCCAAAAAGGGTTTAGGAAGACAACTTGAGAAAGTTACTACAATGTCACCCGACGTCTTCGTACATGGTGCTTCAGACAGAATACAAGGACAACGCTCCCAAAGTGGTTTAAGGTAAACCTTTTCAAGTGCCCAAAGTCCAAATCCTTGTGGGCCGTTCTGATGTCCTGTTTTTTCAAAACTGCCTTCTAGGAAGAAGGGATGGCTATCTCTCAAAAGGCATATTGTGATAATGGAAAATAAAATGGAAACTACTATAATATTGGGGCTCTATATGGTGTTAAACTTGAGGACTTCTGGTTTAGGTTTTATGAGATGGCTACCCCAAAAAAGTTTCACAAACATCCTGCGCAGAATATCTAGAATACATATCAGAGTGTGTAGCCAGGGGGTAGCATAGGATTTGACTTCACCAGAATTCTCTCTGACATTCGCAGCCCATGGTAGACCCCAAAAGTACATAATCCATGCTGTAGAAGCCCCGAAGACGGAATTGATTTTGAGGGCCCCGTGGATGGGGGTGTCTCCCTGAACCTAAACCCTAAACCCTAAAACATTTGGGGTCCATGATTTGGGGGCTTGTACACTCGAAGGCCAGGATATAGTCCCCCTTAAGTAGATAGAACATGAGGTATATTGTAATAGTGGAAAAGAAAATGGAAACTGCTATTTGGGATTTAGGGTTGAGGGTTTAGGATATAGTCCCCCTTAAGTAGATAGAATATGGGATATACGGGGATCGATTTTCATATACCCAAAGCCATACTCTCTACTTACGGGAGACTATATGTTTATGTGCTTTCGGCTGAGCATGCCGCAAAGGTGGGGTTCTGGATTTGGGTTCGAGGCCTCCTAGACGGGTTGTGAGTATCCACTCACATGAAACATTCCCTCTTCCCCCTTGAGTTGAACTTTCCTGACAAGGACCTTACATTACATCTTAGCCTGCAATGTTGCGTGGTACTGTATATAGGGGCTCCAACCAAGTATGAAGCATGTGAGAATTTGACGCTGCAGCTGTAAATTCGAGCGCTCGGTCAATTCCCCCCTATTTTACCCAAAGCACTTGGTAGTTTCCCCCCAAAAATAAGGGGAACCCAATATAGACCCCAAAATACTATAGTCCTAAGGGGACCCCCAAAATGGCACTCCTAATTTGGGGAAACCCCCAAATCCAAACCTACGGCCTAAACCCTAAATAGTAGTTTCAATTTTCTTTTCTATTATCCCAACATAACTAATTAGACCTAGGCCCCCAACCCAGAGCCAGGAGCTTCGTCAGAAGTTGCGGGAGGTGCGAACAGAAGGCGCTGAGGCGTCCGTGCCCGAAGATGAGGAGGCGCCATGTGAGCTCCAGTCTAAACTCCCAGTATCCCCCTTAATAACCCTTGTAGTAGTTCCCATATAATCCCCCATATAACCCCCTTTTAAGGACTTTAGACTATAGCTCATGTGAGCCATCATCTTAACTGCTTAATTTTGGGGTTAGATAAGAGATTATAGAGGGGACTACTATAGAGGTTATTAAGGGGGATACTAGGAGTTTAGGCTATAGCTCATATAGGGCTTTAGACCTTAGATGCGTGTGGGTTGACGGCTGAGAGGCCATCAGGGGTACAGGGTTGTATTGGTTTTCAGCTTCTTTAAATGCGGGGATATTGAGGTTTAGGGATAAAAGGTCCTTGTCGGATTTAGGTATTACACTAGTGAGCAACACGGAGCACAGTATGAGAACAACGGGCTGGAGGTAAGGTTTGGGAGTTGGCAGGGCTTGAGGGTTTGGGTTCCGGTTTGTGCAGTTTGCTTGTTTGGTTTCCAACAGTGAGAGTGTTAATTACAGAGTTCTTGTTTCTGTTTGTTCTTGGAGCGTCAGCGTATTTGCATGATTCCGCATACTACGGCCATTGCCAGAAGAATCACTACTACTACTGCCATTCTCCTTATTGCAATGATGATGGCCAATGATTGCCACCAGCCCCCTCCAAGTGTCAGATTTTACATTGGTGTCTGGGTTTTACATAATCCCAGCTTCCATTTCATGTTCCATTTGGTTTCCCGTTTCATTCTCCATCATTGGTAGAGGTTCAACGCGGGAATCTTGATTTAGGTCTGTAAGGCTTTCTCAAGGTTGCGGTCGCTGCTTTGAGGTGAGCTAAAGTCTAAGCTCCTTAAAAGGGGTTATATAGCAGACTACTGGAGGGGTTATTAAGGGGGATACTAGGAGTTTAGACTATAGCTCAGATGGTTTTGTTCTTATGGATCCGGATTCTGGAGGCTTGAGCATTTATTGTATTGAGAGTCCTCATGGTCACAGGGGAAAGGATCAACCGGTTTCTTTGAGATTCTTGGGGTTTGCGTATATTGAGAGTCCTCATGGTCCACAGGGGAAAGGACTAACCGTTCTCTTTTGGGGGCTTAAACCCTAAGCCAAAAAAATATGTTTCAGGACTCACACAGCTACAGTCCTCCTTAAGTAGATAGAATATTTGGTATATGGGGATCTTATACTGTACCCAAAGCCGTATTCTATCTACTTAAGGGGGACTACGTGAAGCCTGGAGGATCCTTGCAAGGATGATCCGGGATCCATGATACCTGTCAGCTGCTAGCAGATGATACATGGGGGTTTCCAAACTTCGGGGTATTCTTGGGGGCTCCTTATATGTAGGGAAAGTACTAGAACCCTAAACCCTAACACCTAGCCCTCCCCAAACCCGCATGAAGCGAATCCTAATTAGGTGGGAACCTCCTTCTCAGGTTGGAATTACGGGCCCCTAGTATGCGCCTTTAGTGTCCTTACATACCCATAAAGTGCCTTATAACCGCTTATAGGCCCAATTCAGGCCTGATACTAAAAGTCCTGCAAGGACCTCAGTACATCATAGTACCGTATTTCCCAAGGTTTAGGGGACCTTTCGTCATGCAGGATCTATAGTAGTCACCGTAGGACCTGAGATTCCTATGGAAACCCCAGGAGCTGCTGGAGGTCGCAGAGCCAAAAGAGCCAGAAACGGCAAAGCCACCAAAAGAGCCTCCTAAGGCCTTGGTTTGGTCCTGGCCATAGGATATATATATATAATATGTATATATATATATATTTCTAGGGGTATATAGGGTTATATAGGGAGTTGTAGTGTTTATATAGGGATATCTAGGAAAGGAAAATGGAAACTACTATTTGGGGTTTGGGGTTACTGGATTCCTGGGGAATGTTCAATTAGGCTCCCTGAAAGTTAGGCCCTGGGATTGGAGGGTTTGGGTGTTTTTAGCTCCTAGCGCGTTTGTCGCTATCAGGTTAAGGCTTTTGGATATAGGCCTCCAAGGGCCTTTACTCCGCCTCAAGCGCCAGCTTGGGGAAAGCAATATTGTCACACACACACACACACACCTCCTTTGCCGCAGAACATGGAGGTTTTACGGCTTTCCGAAAGGAGCCCGAAGGTTGAGCAATCTAGGGTACCCTCCTCCACCCAGACATGGAGCCCATGTAGGTGTTCCTCCACAGAGGCGTGTACTCTAGGGTCCTTCCATGTTCGTTTGGGGGGTATCTTTTTTGGCTTTTTTTGGCTCCGTACTGCAGACATGCACGACCTCGTAAGTTGTAGGCTTCGCAAAGCTGGGTACCGATAAGATTCTAGGTAGAGAAATACCCAACTCATAGCCAGATAGCATACCGGACCATCCCCATTGCCTTTTACGACTGCTTTTGATAAATCACACCCACCTGTGTTTCGCAATATGCCTACCTAGATGTTTCAAGGTTCAAGGCTAGCAGTTTGCGTTTCCCCCTGCAACGACGGCGCCCGCCAAAAAGACGGGAAAGATCGAATTCCCTCACCCAAAGCTGGACACAACCCCTGAATTCCAGGCAGCCCCAAGCTTCAACCCCAAACCCCTACACGGGGCTTTCCTAAAATTAGGGGTACCATTTTGGGGGTCCCAATAATAAGGATTATAGTATTTTTGGGTCTATATTGGGGTCCCCCTATTTTGGGAAA